AAAAATTCAAGAAGATCAAGAAGAAGTAGTAGGAAGAATGTTAGAAATATAATATAATAGAATGTAATTAGTTGATACCATGTGAGAAAGGAGACATAGACCAGAAGATGAACAGAAGGTAACTCTGTTTACCAACTGTGAAAGAATGAATTACGAAGTGCTTGAATCTTTAACCCATTACAAACAGTACTTATATAGCACCACTAAACCAAGTTTAACAACTTGATCTAACAAACTAACCAACCTTTAACAAACTCAGTTAATTTGACTAAACCAATATCAACTAATTACATTCTATTATATTAAATTTCTAACATTCTTCCTACTTCTTCTTCTTCTTGATCTTCTAGAAAACAAAATGAAAGAAAATAGTGTCTTCTTCTTCTTTTTCCTTCATTGCTTCTTCACCCTTCTTGAAATTCACCGTATGATTTGAGAGTTGATCCAACAATGTTGCAAGCCTAGTGAGTTATAACTGTGAGCTAGAAATCATGTACATTGAACAATTTTTTTCCTCGTTGAAAGAGGCTTTCTTCAGCTTTTTTTTTTCTTCAAGAGTTTCTCTCTCTCTCTTGTTCTTCAGCTTTACTGTCATTCTTCTTCTCTTATTCGGACAATGTTTTTGTTTGAAGCAAGGCGGTTAAGCTACGAGCTCCCGAGTGTAATCTGAAGCCTCTCTTGGGCAAGAAAACACCCTATTTTGTCTGGTTAAAGAGAGCAAGGATGTTAAACTCTTGACTCTCCCCAGATATTTTCTACTATGAACACTTGGCTGTTAAGCTTCAAGTTCCAACTACCTTGGAGAAGAAGCAGCATATAACGAAGAATAAAAATTGTCAACAATTGATCGAGCAATACAATGTCATAGTGTCAATTTCCAGTATTTAACAGCAGTTTACAACCCACTCATATAACAGCTTCCAAAAACAAGCCACTAACAATGATTGAACTATAATTCCATAGAATTTTCCAGAAACATGAAGATCAACCAACAAAACCAGTGCCAAGAACAACCCAAAACTATCAGTAGATGCCAAACATTGAAGTAACTATATTATCCAAAGCAACACTAAAGATCAACCCCGAAACGTAAGATATGTTAGTTAACAATTCCTCTTCAAACCATCAATGATAAAAACAAATTGATTCCAATTAACTGAAATTACAGAACTTGCAACAGTAACAGGACGAGCAACTGGATTCTTTGTTAACACCAAAGAAAAACCATATCCTCTTAGGCAATATGACAAACAGATAATGAGCACAAACTTGAAAGAACACCCAAAACCATACTCTCTTTAAACAAACACCCTCCAAACAGAAGCAACCTCAGCCAAAAAACCTTCAAGAACGTATAGAGTTTCAAAGACAAAGAACAAATCAACGAAACATAACTTTCGATTGAAAGAATTCCTAACAACCACTCATCTACTGTTCTAACAACGAGTCAACACGAGTATACTTTCTTACGGTTCAACAGGAAACTCTTACATCAAAAACATAGATCGAAGAACTGATGCACACGATAAAAAAAACAAAGTGAGCACCATACCTAATCGAGTAAGGAAAACGAGAACATGTTGAACAGTTTATGATTTGGTTTATGAGTCACCTGCATGATCTGCATCTATAGATCTTGAAGTGCCTTTGAGAGAAGCAACAAACAGACAAGCTCCAAACAGAAGAAAAAACTAATTGAATAAACAACGACGAAACAAATCATCAAGCCATAACAACTTCAGCGGAAGGAAAATGAACCAAAATCAGGATCTTTTTGGCGAATGATACCATGTGAGAAAGGAGACATAGACCAGAAGATGATCATAAGGTAACTCTGTTTACTAACTGTGAAAGAATGAATTACGAAGTGCTTGAATCTTTAACCCATTACAAACAATACTTATATAACACCACTAAACCAAGTTTAACAATTTGATCTAACAAACTAACCAACCTTTAACAAACTCAGTTAATTTGACTAAACCAATATCAACTAATTACATTCTATTATATTATATTTCTAACAGAACAAAACCAAAAAATCAGTTTAGCCCATCTGTCATGTCATTTACTATGTTATCAGCCAGCGTGTACTATCACGTCAGCATTTTGGATCGTCATGTCAATAACTTGAAATGTCACTTAGCACTATAACGGTCAACGACGAAAAATGTTGATTAAAATATCACATTTGATTTGTTTTCTAAGTTAAAGAATCATAGTGAGAAAAAATATGATGATCACATTAATTCTTTTTAAGTATATAAATCTCTAGTATTCTTTTACCAAAAATATTAAAATTTTTAAATTCACCACAATTGGACATATGTCAAATCTGAAAAACTCAAACCCCTAAATATTTGATGGAACGAAAGTGATGTTTGTTTACCCGATATAGAGTTTCAAAGAATATATAGAGTTTCAAAAAACCTTCAAGAACGTATAGAGTTTCGAAGACAAAGAACAAATCAACGAAACACAGCTTTCGATCGAAAGAATTCCTAACAACCACTCATCTACTCTTCTAACAACGAGTCAGCACGAGTATATTTTCTTACGGTTCAACAGGAAACTCTTACAGCAAAAACATAGATCGAAGAACTGATGCACACAATAAAAAAACAAAGTGAGTACCATAACTACTCGAGTAAGGAAAACGAGAACAAGCTTAACAGTTTAGGATTTGGTTTATAAGTCACCTACATGATCTTCATCTATAGATCTTGAAGTGCCTTTGAGAGAAGCAACAAACAAACAAGCTCCAAACAGAAGACAAACTAATTGAATAAACAATGACAAAACAAATCATCAAGCCATAACAGCTTCAGTGGAAGGAAAATGAACCAAAATCATGGTCTTTTTGGCGAATGATACCATGTGAGAAAGGAGACATAGACCAGAAGATGAACAGAAGGTAACTTTGTTTACTAACTGTGAAAGAATGAATTACGAAGTGCTTGAATCTTTAACCCATTACAAACAGTACTTATATAACACTACTAAACCAAGTTTAACAACTTGATCTAACAAACTAACCAACCTTTAACAAACTCAGTTAATTTGACTAAACCAATATCAACTAATTACATTCTATTATATTATATTTTTAATAGAACAAAACCAAAAAATCAGTTTAGCCCATGTGTCATGTCATCTACTATGTTATCAGCCATCGTGGACTATGACGTCAGCATTTTGGATCGTCATGTCAATAACGTGAAATGTCACTTAGCACTATAACGGTCAACGACGAAAAATGTTGATTAAAGATCACATTCGATTTGTTTTCTAAGTTAAAGAATCATAGTGAGAAAAAAATATGATGATCACATTAATTCTTTTTAAGTATATAAATCTCTAGTATTCTTTTACCAAAAATATTAAAATTTTTAAATTCACCACAATTGGACATATGTCAAATCCGAAAAACTCGAACCCCTAAATATTTGATGGAACGAAAGATATGTTTGTTTACTCGATATGTCCACTTTAAAGTTTGATTAAACAAAAAAATTATGGAATCAAATTATTGGTCGATCGAAAGTTGTTATTATAGATTGGCTTAATATATAAACAAGTATATAAATTACATATTTTTTTATTTAAGTATTTAAATTATTTTTCGATTAATTTAGGTGTATAACATTTTAAAGGTACATTTTTACGTGTCTAGATTGTTACTGTCATTAAATGACACGTGTCGCTTTTATAAAATTTAAAAAATATATATATTTTTTAATAGCTAAATATATGGTTAATAAAACATTTTTTTAATAGTGGTTGGTAGAACAATCAAATTGAAGTTGAAAGGAAGGATAAATGATCTCAGATTAATTGATAAAAGTTTATATAGAGTTAACAATGAATGTAGAAAACGCCATTCCGGACGTAATATAATAAAAAATGTAATTTGGAACTCAAATTGATTTCGATTTTTAAAAGATTTTATTGCCACTCACTAAGGCCTAGATAGTAGCTAACAGCCTAACACACGAATAAATTTGGTAATAGTTAATGTTTAAGCGAAGTCTTACTGAGGACATCTAAAATGTAGAATCTTTAATCGATTTGAATTGAATATGTTATCTCCACTGAGCAGTGGAGAATAATGCTTTGTAGGCTCCCCAACATTAGTGCTGCACTCAACCGCTTAACATATTCCATATGCCTCATCTTTAACAGAGAAAATAACCCAATGAAACCCTAAAATTCCTTCATCATGCCCCTTATTTCAGTTGTATTGATAGACTGAAATCTTTGATAAATTAAACGCGTTGACTTATTGTGATTTATCTTGAACGTTAAGTTGTTGTGTATGATTTATCCCGATTGATTTAGATGAAAAATCTTAAAGATTTGATTCAAGAGTTTGAAGATCGAAATTCTTTGATCATATCCATTTTTTTTACTATTTCAATTGTATTGATCGATTGAAATCTTTGATAAATTAGACGCATTAGTTTATTGTGATTTACCATGAACGTCAAGTTATCGTGTATGATTTACCCCGATTGATTTAGATGAAGAATCTTAAAAATCTGATTCAAGAGTTTGAAGATTCAAAGTACATAATTGTAGAGTTCGATGAAGTTGAAGGATAACTCAGCGAAAGTTGTAAAAGAAACGCTCAATTACTCTTCAATTGGGTTTTCCCCCCTCCAATTTCGTTAAGTGATCCTCCAACTTCATCGGGTTTTGCAATTAAATCCTTTAAGTTTTGGAACACTTTAATTAAATTTTCGTAACAATTTGTTCAAATCAATTCGTTGTTCGAGATAAGTCACGGTATGTATAACATAATTTATTGATAATGTTGTCTTCATCATATGCATACATTGAAAAAAAGTAACTTCTAATTATTAAAATAATCAAAGATCCTCAACCAACAGTAGAACAAATATACTTTTTTAACCCCCAGTAACAACTTTATAACGCACCAAAAATTAGTGCTACTAACTAATCCCATTTCTGATTATTTGAAAAGAACAGGCAATAACAAGGGAAACTTCAACAACAGTAATCCTCTATAAAGACACTAGATTTAGTCCTCATTTGATCAACAGATTTAGTCCAAACTTAGTCACACATTGGCAGTTGCACCCTTGTTGTCAGTTTTTGCCAGTCATTGATTCACGTAGGGGAACATAGTACCAGCGAGCCATGCAACGAAACATTAGCTCTATACGAACGTCGTCGGATGGAGTGTGGCAAAGCGAGAATCCTCTAAACTACTCCTTCCCATTGCTGATCGTTCAAACAACCTTGGTTCTCTTCACAAGCCGCTTGCTTGCCCTTCTTCTCAAGCCTCTGCACCAGCCCAAAGTCGTTGCCGAGATTCTTGTACGTTGACAAACAAGTTTGCAGTGCGTTCTTTTTACTTTGATGTTCTGTTAATTGGGTTCTTTTTACTGTTTTCCCCCCTCTTTTCCAGGGTGGTATTTTGCTCGGACCGTCAGCTTTAGGCCGCAACAAAGATTTCTTGAACTTGGTTTTCCCTCCATGGAGCACGCCAATACTCGAATCCACCGCAAGTATCGGTCTTCTCTTCTTCCTGTTTCTCGTCGGACTTGAACTTGAACTAACCACGATTCGTCAAAGCGGTCGAAAGGCTTTGAGCATCGCTGTAGCTGGGATGTCCCTCCCTTTTGAATTCGGCGTCGGACTTTCCTTCTTTCTCCGGAAAGCCGTAAAAGGAGAAGATAAAGTAGGATATGGACAGTACATCATGTTCCTAGGTGTGGCACTTTCCATCACAGCTTTCCCTGTCCTTGCACGCATTCTAGCAGAGCTCAAGCTTCTAACAACTCATGTCGGACAAACCGCCATGGCTGCGGCTGCATTAAACGACGTTGTCGCTTGGGTGTTGCTGACATTGGCCATCGCCGAAGCAGGCAATGGCTCAAGTCAAGCTCACAAAAGCCCCTTGGTATCCATATGGGTTCTACTTTGTGGAGTAGCTTTTGTTGCTTTTATGTTAATCCTCGTACGCCCCATGATGACATGGGTTGCTCGACAGAGCTCGCCGGAACTCTTCGTCATCGATGAAGCCTTTATATGCTTAACGTTATCTGGAGTTATGTTATCCGGATTCATGACTGACCTTATAGGAATCCATGCAATCTTCGGTGCTTTTATCTTTGGACTAATCATTCCCAAAGGAGAAGAGTTCGGACAAAAATTGATCACAAGGATTGAGGACTTCGTTGCCGGTTTGCTTCTTCCTCTTTACTTTGCCTCTAGCGGATTAAGGACCGACGTAGCTAAAATTCAAGGCATTGAGGCGTGGGGACTCTTAGTGCTTGTTATATCGACGGCTTGTGCAGGGAAGATTTTAGGGACATTTTTCACGGCCATGCTGTGTAAGATTCCGGTTAGGGAGTCATTGGCTCTTGGGGTTCTTATGAACACCAAAGGGTTGGTTGAGCTAATTGTTCTCAACATCGGAAGGGAAAAAAAAGTGAGTATATATTTTAAATTATGTAAATTATGTTCGGAATCTAACCTGCAGGATGTCTTGGTGATCATTGTTATTGCAGGTTCTCAATGATGAAATGTTTGCAATTCTAGTCTTGATGGCACTTTTCTCCACTTTCTTAACAACTCCAATGGTTATGGCGATATACAAACCTCGGCATCGATCGGAACAAGCATCAACCCCTGCAGAAGAGTTGGAAAATGAGCTTCGAATCCTGGCATGCATCCATGGACCTAGCAATGTGCCGTCAGTCATCAACCTCATGGAGTCGATCAATGGGACCAACAGATCCCCACTCAAACTTCATGTAATGCAGCTTATTGAACTTACTAATCGGTCTTCATCTATTTTGATGGTTCAAAGAGTTCGAAAGAATGGTTTTCCCTTCGTTAGTCGCCTATGTCGAGGGAGTAAACGCGATCAAATTGCATCTGCGTTTGAGGCAAATGCACAGCTTGGGAGGGTGCACCACTCGACAGCTATTTCAGCATTATCGACAATGCATGAGGATATTTGCCATGTAGCCAAGGATCGAAGTGTGGAGATGATCATCCTGCCTTTCTACAAGCAGTGGAATGGGGACGGTGACGAGGCAATTAAGAGCATCAGCCATAGCTGGATAGAGGTCAATCAAAGGGTCCTAACAACCGCACCATGCTCGGTTGCGTTACTTATCGAAGGTAGATTTAACAATCCATCAGACCAAGCGGCAGAACTCACTACAACAATGCCAAAAAGAGTAGCTATTTTGTTTATTGGTGGACCGGATGATCGTGAAGCTCTGCGGCTCAGTCGGAGAATGACCGGAAAGCAACTAGTTCAGTTGACTCTAGTGAGGTTCCTCCAAGGCCAAAGGGATGACAATATAAGAGAGAAGGTAAAACATGCATAAAATTCTGTTATAGATTTTCGAATCGCCTACCACTTTCATTGCAATTCTGAAGAGATCTGGTTTTAGCAGGAACTGGATGAGTCTGCATTGGCGGAGTTCAGAAGGTCAGATACAACCATCCGATACGAAGTGAAGGCAGGTAGCAATGTCGTGGAAGAAGTAACAAGGATTGGACAAAGCAGGGGGTATGATATTGTTATGGTCGGAAAGGGACATCACCCATCTTGCTGGGAAACTGCAGGAAACCATACAGAGATTGAGGAACTGGGAGCTATCGGGAGTATTCTAATTTCCGGAGACCAGAGCTTCTTTCCGTCTATCCTAGTGATTCAACGACAGAAAGAAGCAGCTGAAAATGAGGCCACTGTTTCACAGATGATATGAGATGAGGATGCCATTCCTAGATGTTGATGTAAAAAGCCATTGTAATATGTCTAGAACTCGAGGTTAAATAAATAAGAACATTAAGTTCTAGTAAATCCAAAGAAATTTTGATGTTTCATTTCATAAATAATGTGTTCCTTTACAACCAATCCTCTTTCCAAATCTAGGCAATTAGCCTCTTCTGTTCACTTTTTCTTTTACAAATATAAACAACTTTTAAAGATGAAAATCACATTAGTAAAACCTTTTGAAAGATATCCCAACTTAGCTTTTGAAGATCTAATTCAGTGTTGGTAATTCAGAGGAATAAATAAGAAATTAACCTTAACGAAAGCGTACACCCGATCCGGTGGCACCCGATTTTCGGTTGTGACCAACAACTCCTTTATCAGATTCACCATTATGGAAATTATCAAATCCATCATCCCAGCCAGCCCAACCATCGTTGCTATTAGTCTCCTTTGCAGTACCTTCCTTCATATTGTCCCAGTCATCCCAAGAATTATGATTCCCAACAGAGGAGGATTGTCCTCTAGAAGTAGAATTACGTCCTTTTTTCCCCTGGTTACAGTCCTGATGATATCCATTTTTCTCGGGTTCGTTTTGCTGCAAGTTATCGTTGTTCCAGTTCATGCCGTCTTTCGCATACTCCTCAACCTTATGTGTAGCTAATAACATGACACCTCTCATGATCCCCCATGTTCTCTGGCCAATCTCCGATGTCTTTGCGGTGACTACGCTGACGGTTTTGTTAACCTTGGCATCATAGCCACCCTCCTTAACCTGCACAAATGAATCATGCTATAACTATAACAACAGAAACAACTTAGCCAAATGGAAATCATAACCCCAAAATACCTTGGTGCTTAACTCCTTCGTTCCTGCTTGAACAACACTTGCAGCAGATTGGGCAGCCGATGCTGCAACTAATGATAACATCCCAATCCCCTGCACCACAAACAAATTCAGCTAATAATCTATCACCAATTCATAAAAATGATAAGAACAATGAAGTAATTTCTTAACCTGAGAAACAACAGAGAGCACATCACCCTGAGGATCATTATTCCTCTGGGTAGGCGTAGGAGTGGAACCAAACCCAATGTATTTCCCTCCTTGTGAAGGTGGTAGACCTTCTGGCCTGGATTCATTCTCCGCCATCTTCCTCGCAAAGAACCTCTCCTTGTTCGCCGCTGAAGCCTCCATCTCCGATCTAGTGTATATATCCTCTGTGGACATCGACCTCATTGGAGCACCTGCTGCTTCACCACCATTCTTATTCCCGTCTCTAAAATCATTCGCCGATTGATTCCTCCTCATATCATTCGAAGATCTAAAAGAATCGTCATTATCCCAATTATCCCACCCTTCATTATTATTACTATCATTATGATTACTGCCCCTGCTCGCACCACCGCTCAACGGCGGTTTTCTACTACCACAACCTCCGTTGAGAGTCTCTTTCACAAACGATGGATCCTTCCACGGGCGGCCCTCGGCAAGGTCCTGGATACGATCACGATAAATACTGGCGGCATTGGTGATATATTTGGTAACGATATCGGTTTCTTTAGGGATCCCGTACCGAGCCAAAAAGGCGTTGATCTTGTCGTTACCGCCGGATTCCATCTTCTTGATCTGGATGTCGGACCACGAATCCATGGTGACCGATCGGACGAATGAGATGTGGACGCCTAAGCCACGGTGTTTACCGGAGCATTCTAAGCACATGAAAACACCGTAGGAAACCGAAGCCCATTGGGGATTCTTTTGGTTGCAATCGACGCAAGTTCTATTACCAGCCTGCGATTGGAGGTCGCGTAACCGTCTCGTTGCCACCATGTTTTTGAATCCGATCTGGATCGGATTCGGGCAAAAAAATAATTAGATGGGAAAAAAACAGAGAAGTGGAGCCTATAAAACAAAATTTAGGGGAAATTATCTAAAAAGAAGAACAAATTTAAAAGGATAATGGGAGGCCAAAATTAAATGGGGAAGAAGAAGATCAGCGACATCATTGAACCATATTTAGGAGGAATGTTGAAATCAGGCCATTTTGGGTAAATTTTGAGTTTCCTTTTATTAACACACGTGTTGTTGGTGTGGAAGTAACAGATTCAACTGTGGTTTTTAAACATGTCTCTCATCCTCGACTGCTGTCGTGTTTGATTCGGAAGTGGACTGACGATGATTCTCAAGAATTTTACTTGTCACTAAATTATTCTCTTTTTTTCTTTTTGGCATAATGTCAAATTTAATTCGAACTTCTGTTAAAATAATTATATTCATCGTTATTCTTTTTTAAAATATTTAAATTTTTAATGTTTTATTTTAGGATAGAAAATTTTTATCTGTATATAAAAATCGTTAATTAATACTAGATTAATACTATAAAATAAGTCTTTTATCATAAAATTAAAATGTTGAGTTTAAATGTTCTAAAAAAAGAATAAGGACCACATTATTTGTCAAATGTTATGAGCTTTGTTGTCTTAAAATAAAACTTTGGGGCAAAATATTTCAAAAAAACAAAAGGGGTCAAAACAGTGGCGATTGTACGTTGAAGTTAAGTGGGCACGTGCCCATCCTGAAATTTCCTAGAATTCGAATTTTCTTCTTTAATATTTTGAAGTTTTCTTCATTAATACATATGCCCACTCTTTTTTTGATAAACCTGTCACTGGGTCAAAATGACCATTTTGATAAACATTAAAAGCTAATTTTAACATGATATATTTTTACTTTGATCACCAAAACTTTTTTTTACAAAAGGTATAGTGTTAAAAAGTACCCAAAATATTTGATTAAATAGTCACTTTGCTCCTATTGTTTTAGAAAATTGACCCCTATATTTCATTTTTGTGGTGAAAATACCCTATGGATGGAAATCATTATTAACATACACTTAGCGGTCTAAATATGGGTTTTTTTGTCCTAAAATGAGACATTGAGGGTCAAAATGCTTCAAAAGATATAATATGGACTAAAATGACTATTTAGTACTCAAATATTAGTAACCTTTTATCATAAAATAAAATATTATGGGCTAAAAAATACTCTAAAAATATGAGTCAAAATTAATTATTTAGTTCAATGTTAGGGACATTTTTTTAACATTATGCCTTGACAAAATTATCACCAACATTATATTTTAATTTAATAACACTTTAATGATGTTACATGCTATAATAACACTTTAATCTCAAAATTTATATATTCAATTAGTTTAATTTTAATTCAAAATAATTTAATACATTTAACTCCAAAGATTAAAAATCATGTTATTTTCATCCTTAACAAACTTAAACCCTAAAATGTTTTTGTCAATTGTCATCCAACACATCTTACCATTGACTCGCCTCAACCACCCAAGAGACAGACGCCATTTTAATTAGTAGTGAATGGTGAAAGACATGAGAGATTTTGACCAGCACCACTCCAACGACAAAACATGTGATTAGTTGGATTTTTGTGCAAAAGATTTAAGATAAATAAGTGAGACAATATTACCAAGTTAGGCGAGGTTACATAAAATCTTGAGTAAATTTCTCAGCATGTGTATGGCATTCCATCAACCAGGGGATAAATGTTATACATCATTATCTTTGAGACCTTAATTCCAATTTTTTTTTATTTGAAGAGAATTGTATTTCATTAATACTGAGGCAAAGTAAGCATTCCATATTTCTAATGTTATCCAACAACCATTTTCTTTTATTGCCATTTAAGCAAAATTTGTAGCGCTCAGCTGGTGCTGATTCAAAACGGATGGCTTTAACATCTCACTCCCAAAATAAGCTGTTGCTGCTGGCGCCAAAAGTTGGTCTCTTGGGACTAGGGACCTGGTGTGAACACCAGGTGGAACCCTCTTCCTTTGCATCCACTTCAACCGCATTGCTTTCGCTTACTGGTGAATATGGTTTAGTCACTTTCTTCTTCAACAGTTCCTTTGAAGAGTTCTGCCCATATGTAATCATTGCTCGTTCGATCGAAGAGTAAACTTGAAGAGCCTGATCAGTATATCGGGTGCACTTTATGATACGAACTTGTTCTTTTGTATCTGTTGGTCCAGTCTTTAGATAGAGTATGAGTTGTGAAGGTGGAGCTTTGAAGTGGTCTTTCTTTCCCTGAGTCAACTCCATTGTTGCCAGATCATCCCACGGTACATCCCACATTACTAAACAGGATCCCTCATCGGGTTGAATTTCCTATATTAGAGTTTTGTTGCAACAATATCACTCTTCGATGAGCAACTATAGTAATTTTTCCCTTTGGTAGCATGAAATGATCTTCATATGCATCTGATAATGCAAATTTTCCGCGTACTTTGAATAGATCAACCTGGCCCAAGAAAGACGTTGACTGCGCCAATTGCAATATTACCTGTCCTCGTGCTTTATACTAATCATATGGTTGAAGCAAATTATCACCACCAACTACACGAGGCAGCCTCCTGCGGAGGAGTTGGTCATCTGAAGCTATAGCAGATGCTATCTTCCTTCTCATAGCATTTGCACCTTCAGTAGTTTTTGACAAAAGATCCAGAACCCCACTCACAGGCTGTGCCAGCTACACCTATTATGCCTTTTCCAACACCCTGAACGAAGCTTTCAACGCCCGCAGATTTTGCACCTTCAATAGGCTTCTTTAATATTCCAGTAACTCCTCTAAACATGCCTTTTGCTAGTGCTCTACCCCCTTCTCTGATGACACTACCTAAGTCATCTACACCCTTGCTCTCCTGTCTCTGTCGGCCTTCAATGAATTTCTTATTCATTGATAAAGCAGCCACTCCTTTACTCATATGACCAAGAGCACTACTTGCGTTGCCCAATATCAAGGCCTGAGAGCAACTGAAGTGGTTGACCTAGAAGATCCTTTTTGATGTTCGCAATTGCATTACTAATCATAGTACTCTGCCTCATGCACACATTCTCATGAAATCTTTGATTTATCTTGACAGTCATGTTCTCAGTGTTCTCTAGTGCAGTCATTAGGGATGCCCAGAAACCAAGTACTCCCCCAGGCCGTTGACTAGGCGACATAGTCATAGACACTTTTAGTCGAACTTCTGAGATATTGAGAACCCCAATTTGAATGATTGGATCAACTGACACGGCTGTAGCTTGAGTATCCTTTAATCTACCGAAATTGACCTGTGGTATCATCTCATGTATGCGCCATATTATAGGTTCATGAATGTTTATCAAAAATGCAGAATTATCAGGCCCCATGTTCACATCGAAACCAATACATGGATAGACACAGAGATCCAGTGATCCATTTGTTTGCAGAGTCACAGAAATTTTCATGATATAATCAGTTTCCTGCCCAATTTTCTGTGGCCTGAAGAGAACTGGTGTTCGGTTACTGGCAATTGGTTATCCATTTGAATACCTCTCATTCTTAATTTGAACCTGCCCATAAATACCCTCTCCTTCCCTTCCCCCTTTCTGCCCATCTCTTCCTTCTTCTCTGTTTTCTTTGTCAAGAAAAAGGAACAAAAATCTTTGTTAAACAAGCAGAAGAAAACATGGTCGGTGTCATTTCTTTGATCACCGGTTGGCCCTGACGGAGCGGCTTCGGCTCGGCTTGTACTGCCGAAGAGATCACTCAAGGAATCGATGGATCCAATCTCACTGCTATAATAACCAGTCGGTGTCATTTAGGGTTTCTGTTGTTTTTGGGCTGTGATATTGTACATGTTGCATCGTGTCTTCACTCTAGTTTTCAAACGTCGCTTTTACAAAATTAATGTTGTTCCAACGTAACCATGTTGTTCGGTTTTTTTTTCAGGTGGAGCAAGTGGGATCGGATTGGAGACTTCACGTGTATTGGCTCTTCGGGGTGTTCATGTTATCATCGTTGCAAGGAACCTTAAAGCTGCAAATGAAGCCAAAAGGATTATTCTTGCAAATATATAAACCGCTCGTGTTGATGTCTTGGAGGTCGATCTTTGCTCCGTTAAGTCCATCAGAGCGTTTGCAGACAACTTCATCGCCCTTGATCTTCCTCTCAATATCTTGATGTAAATTTCAAAGGACCCTTTTTTTTAGATTTGAATTCTGTTATCATATGTCGACCTACGATATACGTAATGGTCGACATATGGTGACATTTATTCTTCATTTCTTGATTATAACAAGATTTTTATGACGTTGTGTGTCTCAGAAACAACGCTGGGATCATGTTCTGTCCCTTTCATCTTTCTCAAGATGGAATAGAGGCTCAGTTTGCAACTAACCATATTGGTAGGTTCCAATAAATTAATAGTAATTTCATTTTTTCTATAATTTTGAACCCTCACGACTCTTTCATTTGTTTTTTTCATTCACAAATCAAAAATTGGAATCCGTAATTTTGTTTAAAGAATCCAGTGTTCATCTCACATGATCAATTTGATTGTTACTTTAATCTTGGACTAATCTTTGTTGCTTTTTTTTCTTCCAGGGCATTTCCTCTTAACCGAGCTTCTTCTGGACAAAATGAAGAGCACAGTGAAAACTAGTGGTGTTCAAGGAAGGATTGTTAACTTATCATCAATAGCCCACACCCATTGTTATAAAAATGGGATCCGATTCGCTAAGCTCAATGCTAAAGAAGGGTAATTTTGCTTAATATTATAGTTTTATTTTATGATTCTTTTTTGCTAAAATTTTGTTTTCATCGACCAATTAATGCATCGGAAATTCTACTTTTTCTTTTCATTTCAGATACAACGATAAAAGAGCATATGGGCAGTCCAAATTAGCAAATATATTGCATGCCAATGAACTCTCTCGTCGATTGCAGGTAAAACTTGAAAGTTGGCGAAACCTTGTTTCTAGAAAATAACAAAATAATCATCATAGTTTGTCAATGGGAACAAGTTTATCTAGTCGAGAAAATAGCGACAACAACCGTTATTTCACCGACCATGATTCTTCATCCAAGTTAAGAGTGAATCGTCAATATCCATTAAGACACTTGTTTCCATCAACAAGATCTAATTCAATTTGGAGTAACAAAAACCCGAAATTGGCCGGCCACTTTGGGTCTAGATAAACTCTAGACTGATTGCAGGCGGTTTGCCTTGCGTTGTAGGGCAAGTAATCTCCCTCATGTGGCCAAGGACTCACTTTTCCTAACCTAAACTTGGATTATACAGTTTCCTTGTTTTGAGTTATTAATAGGATATGGTCGAGTCAAATTGAGTTGTCGTGATGTCAACTTGAACAAAAAGTATGAATTATTTAATTTATTTGTTTAACCAACAGGGAAAAAATTGATGGTGATGGATGATGGATCCATGAAATTGTATACTGTAAATGTGCCATAAATTTGGCTACAAAAAGTAGTTGTAACATTTTTAGCTTTAAAATGATGTGTAGGAGGAAGGTGTGAACATCACAGTAAATTCGGTTCATCCTGGATTGATAATGACGTCTAGGGTGCTTATCGAGCAAGTCGATCATGAGTTAGGTTGTGCTCGACTCGTACCCGTTAAAAAAATTTGTTACTCGACTTGTGCTCGTTAAAAAAACTGATTGCTTAACTCGTTGCTCGTTAAGCTCATTGCTCGTTAAGTTTGATGCTCGTTGCTCATTAAGCTCGATGTTCGTTGTTCGCCTCGTTGCTCGTTAAGCTCGATGCTCGTTGCTTGTCTCATTGCTTGTTAAGCTCACTAAAATTTTTACCTTATTTTCTTAACTATAAGTAAAATCTACTAATACGCTATACATAGCTTAATATAAACATAAATTAATAAATTTAATAAAAAAGTTATCAAAATAGTATATGAAGTATTTTCAAAGTCTAAATTCCAAAGTAACAATTCATAAATATATTAAAAATAATAAACAGGGTTTGATTTTTGAGTGTAGTAAAATATTAATTAATAATTTAGTATTTTTTGTTGTTTATTAGAAAATTAATAGATTAGCAATTTATCACCTTTTTTTATTATCTATTAGTAAATTAGTAATTTTTTGAATGAAATAATTTTTTAAGATAACTACTAAAAAATTTAACAAACTGTTCGCGAACTTATCGAGCCGAGTTGGAATTTGCTCGACTCAACTCTTTAAGGTCTCGAGTCGAGCTTGAGTTTGAGTCGAATCAACCCGAGTCGAGTTCGAACTGCTCAACTCATTAAGCACCCCTAACGACGCCTCTTTAAGCACATTGCCGTTCTAATGAGTACCGTCTTTTGCATTCCGAATCCCATTAGCTAAACCCTCTTCTTTTCACTGTTTTATTCACTAAAATCTTCGTGTTTTTTGTTGCAGAGATTTTGAATTTCTTCCGTTTCTTCCTATGTAAAAATGTTCCACAGGTAAAACCCAGATTCCCAAACTTGAAAAAAAAAACTCCAAATTTCGTGTTCAATGGAAGATAAAAAAAAGAATATTCTTTTCGACAACCGTGTTTAGGGGGCGGCAACGACGTGCTACGTGGCGCTCCACCTGCGGCTGAAGGGAGTCACCGGTAAATACTTTGTGGACTGCAATGAGATGACACCGAGTTCATATGCTAGAGATGAGGCTCTGGCAAGGGAATTATGGTGTTTTCAGCCACAAATTGATTAACTCCGTTTCGAAATGAAAAATTGTTGCCAATCATATGAAAGACGGAAGCTTATGGTCTTGTTCTCTGACTACTGATTGTAATAGCAAAAACAGAAAATATGATCGTCACCATGGGAAGTTGAAGCGTGATTTAGAGTTTAAATTGTTGTCGTTTTTCTATGTGTTACTACAAGAACAAGAAACACTAGTTTCATGCGTGTCTGCAATTTTTCAATGAATAAAACTCTTTGTACTTTATTAATGTATCTTTATGAATTATAGATTCATTTTCCCGACAAACCCCTTCCTCGTTTTTTAAAAATAAAATCTTACTAGGGTTTCTTACGTTCATCGGCAAACCCCGACTTGGCTGCATTAAAACTTTGATGTTACTGTCATAAATAGGGTTGCTGCCGGGGCCTTTTCTATAGTGAAATTGTTTAATCTGCTCCTACAAGGTAGTTATAAAGTGCAATGTTGGTGATCACGGCCCTGTATGTTCGTATATCGAACACATTCGTATCTAGTACGTAAATTATATAACATAAGTGTTATCGATATCGATACATCGATTAGAGGTTCGACGAACTCGCAAGACATGAAATTTTCTGACCTTGAAAAAGCTTTGATTATGGGGGCGGAGAGAATGCCTTCTCCACCTTTAGAACGAGGTACAAAAATGGGGCCAAGGAAACAAAGATTGCAGCAAGCATAATCATCGCCATTGTCCGCAACGTAACGGCTGTGTTTAAAAAGAAGACGGATGCAATGGCCGAACTCTGCCACACCTTGAGCTGTGAAAATGCTCCTTCCTGTTCTCGTAAGAAATAATCGAGCGTGATCATGGATTTAGAAGTTCATAACTGTACTTCTGGCCTAACAGGTAGGTTACACCAGAGAGAACAGATTAACAAAATGAAAAATTTAGACCGAGCATATACGATGTCCTGTATAAACAGAGGTAAGTTTGTACCATGTTGTGCTTAAACAGTAGAGCGAGCAAAGCACTGAGCTGCGTATTCAAAACCCCGTCACCGATACCCAGTAAAGCTGCCATGAGAAGTGGGTACACTATGCCGAGCACCCCACCAGTCGCACTATGTCATGGCATATATCAGCAGTAAGTATGATACAGAGTGAAAGTACCTGGAAGTAAAATGTAGAAACATTTATATGACAGCATAGTTTTACCTGTATTTTAGCGAAAGCCAGACGAATATCACTGCCTGAAAAAAAGCTCCCGCGCAAACTATGAATGTTATTGATTTCAGGCCAGATGTCAGTCGACCAGCCACTAGTGAACACTGAATATGAAGTTTTACCATCAAGTTCAAACCAGATAATTGGTCATCCAATCGCATCTAGTCCATAAAGAGCTAATATCGAGTAAAACTCATTGTTGATAACCCAGTAATCATTTCTGAATTTTAAGTACTTACAATTGCATCAAAAGCCCCATAAACTGCCATCGCACCACCCACACCGGCCTCTCCGAGAGTTGGGTTTACAACATCCTTGGTGTACTCAGCCCTGAAATAGCAAACATGTCCTTAGTCAAGAAGATATGTGGAATTTGTTTCCTTTAAGGAAGGCAAAGATTGAAAGAAGGTGTTGCGGCAACGGCCTCGATAAGCAATACCATACAAAAGCTTGCTGTAATCCTGAATAAGCAATAAGGGGAATGATCAAAAGCATCTTAAAGTCGAGCAAAGGAGTGATAACCGACTTCAATCGGGATATCACAGCAGAACAGAAACTGACAGAAGAATCCTCTGATACCTTCTCTTCTTTGTCATCGATTTTACGCAAGAAGCACATAAGAATGGCACCTAATGTCATACTACAAAGAAACACAATGAACAGCAAAGATTTGTTGCTGGAACTTCCATCCTACAGTGTAAGAATAACTAATTAGCAGCTGGTAAATGTTTTAAAAGGGAAGAAAAACTAAACTCCATGTCAAAAGACCCATGGCATCAACTATAATCATGTAATGGAATTGATTCTTGAAAGAGAAGTTTGGAGCGTAAGTCTAGGCTTGAGCATATCTGAAGCATGCATTCAATGACCGACCCATATGTTAAACAAAACACCGTTTTCCTGAACATAAAAGCCACTTATATAATATTTGAATACACAGAATGGAAGAGGAACAATAGAAGCAACACTAACCGCTCCACTTTCCAAAACCGCAAGCGTGATAAGATTTCCAACGAACTGCTTTTGAAGAAAAATAAATTTGGGTAAAAGATCGATCTTTACAATCTTGAAGTAGCAGGCTAAAGATAAAGAAAATAGTTATCCTGACTAATTACCACCTGGTGAAGAGCAAACATTGCCCAAAATTCTCCATTGAAGTTACCGATCACGGTTCCTTCATGTAAGTTGGAATCTCTAGCATGACCGCGTGCTAAAGAAGTAAGATACGTCCCCTGATGAATCAATGTTGCTAAGGAAATGAAAATCAATAAACAACCATCATTAACCAAAAAAGATACATGGACTTTATAAGTCTAAAACATACACATACCTCCCCAACCCATATTATCGAAGCTGCAAAACCGAGGAACAAGGAAACCGGTACCATAGTATACCTATTAAAAGATGTTCAATCTCAGAATTTCATTACAGCACGATTAATACGTAGTAGTGAAACAAGCCAGAAGTTTAAATAAAATGCACAAAATGTCAGTTCATCTCTACATTACCATTCAAAACCTGAAAAAAAGGGGTTTGTTTCGGTTTCGGATTACTTTTAAGATCCACCAAGTGATTAAATGAGCAGTGATTACCATGTAGGCTTCAAATTTGCAGCTATGAACAACAAATAACCAGTGGTTCCAAGAACCAGAGAATTCCTAGACCCCATTACACGAACCACCAATGATGCGAACAACGAGAAAACAGCAAAAGATACATACAGTATCCCAAGCGTCACTGTTCCCAAGTTCCCTCGCTGAAACCCAAAGAAAAGAACAAAACTTTTTCCATTTAATGATTCTACAAAACTATAAAATCTTCCAAAATTTTCAAATAGCAGTCAGTTTTCTTAGTAACCAAACAGCCGGAAGAAAATTCAAAAGCAGAAGAGACTCACAGCATTAACTGTAGTCTGCAAATTCTGAGCAGCTCCATAAGCGAGGAAGACCAACAAGAAGGCACAGCTCAAAATATGAACATCCCTTGTTCGGTTTTTAGGAGTTTCGATTTCCGAAACATCGGCAACAAGTGGGGCTTCCTCTTCTTGATGAGTACCCATCAATTCGATTGCCATTTGTGAGTTGTAGTGTTCTCGACTGGATTAAAATCATAAGAAATCGATGGCACATATGGAGATAGTTATAGCTTGTCTTCTTACATCATAAGAATGACCGATATCCGGTAACATTCTGATTCAATTCAATTCGTGGTTTATGTATTGGGTTTTAATTTTCCACCCTTCTAGCAAAACCAAGGGTTTGGGCCGCCTGCAACTTGCAAAACTTTTAGGTTTCTTACGGGGAGTGATCACAAATGTTTTCTTTATGTTTCTGTTTTGGGCAAACTACACAACGCATCACTAATATTTTAGAAAATTTTCGTTTTCCTCACTTCAATTTTAAAACTAACGAATTGGTCACCAACATTATTGATATATAACAAATTGATCATTAATGTAATCGATTTATAACAAATTAATCACTCTAAACATTAATAGCCATTAACCCAAAGGACGGAAAGCTAATGTGGAGAGTTAAACTGACTGACCTGGTACGATTTGACCACGTGAGACAACCACGTTGACCGGATGTCTAACTCCCCTCTTTAAAGACCCTCAATCCCTGTCGTAACCGACTTTCGTCCGGGCACGAAATATTAAATTTGGCGGGAAAAGTGATGTGAATAAATGGTTTTGAAAATAATTTGGGAGTCGCCATCGGCCTTTTGGGTCAGGTAGGTCGAATACCTAAAAAAATATCTTTTAAAAGAGTTTTAAGAAAACATCAATTAAAAAAAAATTAAACTGATCTGCGTTTATAACCAAAAATTCGTTCTTTTTAATAATAAAAAGGGATTCGTGGTCGGTTACGTTTAGGGAAGGATTAGCACCCCTACAACGCCCAAAAATTGGTACTTTTTAATTATAAATTGTCTCTATTATTAAAATTTAAAAATTCAAAAATATATTTAATTTATAATCCTATTATTTTCAAAATTATATTTATTTAAAAATATCCGAAAAGAACTTCTATGTGCCTTAAGACAGCTCTTTTCTTTGATATTGATAAATATTAATTTAAATAATATTGTTTACTTTTTAATTTTTAAAATATCAGAATAGGACATCCAGTTGTATTAAGACTGTCCTTTTCTTCGATATTGAAAAAATATTAAAATAATTTATTTTAAAAAATATAAATTATTATTTATCATATATATTTATGACTATATAATAATAGTAAAAATATTTAAATATATAAACAATTAAAACAATAAAAATACAATTAGAACGATATATTTAAAAGCAGTAAAATAAATGAAAACATTTAAAATTAGTGACTAAATTATAGTAAAAATTAAAATTAAAAACCTAATTCATAATTAATCAAAATTATAGGGTTTAAACATGTTATTTTCTTATTTTATTAATTTAGTGACTAATTTAAAACTATATAAAATTCGAATATCATATTAAAATAAATTAAAAATATATACTCGGGATTAAAATATTATTTATCAAAATTAAAGGACTAAATATGATATTTATCTTAAATATATTATTAATACGGTTAATGGCTAAAATATAAATAAATAAAATGTAGAGACCAAATTAAAAGGATCAAAAATTTGATTCAGTGACTAAAAGGTAAAGATTACAAATTAAAGGGATGGCGGACGAGATTAATCTTTTTGTTAATTACGGACAGATCCCTCCCCAAAACGGCGTCGTTTGGGGAGGGCTATTTAAGCCCATTCATAGCTGGCCCGAAGGGCCAGCAGCTCATTCCTATCTTCTTCTTCTTCTCTCAAAAACGAGAGAAGAAGCTCTCTCTTCCTTCTCTCTTAATTCCCTCACCGGAGGGAATTCCGGCGCCGATAGCCACCGCCAACCTCACCGCCGGCCACCGCCTCCGGTGGCCGGAAAATAAAACTTTATACCATAATGTAGATCGGATCGTCCTAATGACGATTCCGGTATTTGTTTACCTTAAAAAGCTCTCAATCGGAGCAAATCTTTAAAAATACCTTCGGTTTTCGAAGGTTTGTTGTGGAGCGTGGAGGCGCGTGATTACTCCGGTGGTGGTGTGGCTTTCCTCGGTAAATCTCTTCTTCCTTTCTCTCTTTTTTCTTCTGGTTCTTTGCTGCTGAGATCGTTGGTACTAGTTTGTTTTTTTTTTCTTTCTCTGTCTTTTTCTTCTCCGTTCTCTGTCTCTCTTTTATATCTCTGTCCTTTTTTTTTCGCAGATGGGTGGTGGCTTTTATAGCCACCACCGTTGTAGCTGTCGGACCGGTCCGAAGAAGGGCTCTCGGTGAGTCACCGGACTACCAGTGGTGACTCACCGAGTAGCCATGGCGTGGACGGCTGGTATATTATCTTCTGGAGTCTTCGGTTGGGACGTGGCAGCGGCGGAGGCGGCGAGATAGCAACGGCGGCCGCGTGTCCTTAGGGTATCAGACCCTAGGGTTTCCCTCTGGCACCATCTGGACCGTTGGATCTTGCCAGATCCAACGGCTGTGAGCTGAGGCGGCTGGGTAAATTAGGGTTAGGAAACCCTAACTGGAAACCCAAGTATTTAGGGTTTCTGGTTGGATTTGGACCGGTTCTGGTTGGTTTGTAACTGGGCCGATCCAGTTGTAATTGGTCTGTAATTTATTATTTATTTAATATATATTTAATAATAATAATAATATAATAATAATAATAATAATAATAATAATAATACTAATAATAATAATAATAATAATAATATGGATAAAAAATTAGTATCTTCAGCTGCCCCTCTTTGCTCATTCTTGTGTTAACAAGAATAGGGCAAAGATGAAAAGATAATAAAATTTTTTTATCCATTTGACTTTACTTGATTATAATGGAGATATTGAATAAATTCTTCTCTCTCTCCAGATGAGTTCTTCTCATTATGAACTTTCTGCTGGGGATGATGATGACCTCCTTTTTTTCTGTGATAGAGTCATTCAAAAGGTTGAATAAGCTTTTGATGAGTTCTTCTCATTATGAACTTTCTCTTCTTTCTTCAGATGAGTTCTTCTCATTATGAACTTTCTCTAAAAAAAAAATAACCCATCAAGTAATAGATTTGAGCAAAAAGGTTGAACAAATTCTTCTCATTATGAACTTCTTCTTCCTTCTTCAGATGAGTTCTTCTCATTATGAACTTTCTCTGGCAAAAATAATCCATCAAGTGATGAATTCAGACAAAAGGTTGAACAAATTCTTCTCATTATGAACTTCTTCTTCCTTCTTCAGATGAGTTCTTCTCATTATGAACTTTCTCTGGCAAAAATAATCCATCAAGTGATGAATTCAGACAAAAGGTTGAACAAATTCTTCTCATTATGAACTTCTTCTTCCTTCTTCAGATGAGTTCTTCTCATTATGAACTTTCTCTGGCAAAAATAATCCATCAAGTGATGAATTCAGACAAAAGGTTGAACAAATTCTTCTCATTATGAACTTCTTCTTCCTTCTTCAGATGAGTTCTTCTCATTATGAACTTCTCTGGAAAAGCTAATCAATCAATTTGATGAATTCAAATAAAAGGTTGAACAAATTCTTCTTATTATGAACTTCTTCTTCCTTCTTCAGATGAGTTCTTCTCATTATGAACTTTCTCTGGCAAAAGCTAATCCATCAAGTGATGAATTCAGACAAAAGGTTGAACAAATTCTTCTCATTATGAACTTCTTCTTCCTTCTTCAGATGAGTTCTTCTCATTATGAACTTCTCTGGAAAAGCTAATCAATCAATTTGATGAATTCAAATAAAAGGTTGAACAAATTCTTCTTATTATGAACTTCTTCTTCCTTCTTCAGATGAGTTCTTCTCATTATGAACTTTCTCTGGAAAAGATAATCCATCAAATGATAAATTTGAATCTTTGTTAAAGTCTTTGAAATTCCTGTTAAAAATTCAACATAGATGAAAATGAATGAAAATGCACCTATTTTTGTAAACACCTAAAATATGATGCATGAATGTTAATTTATTTGATTTCAGACTGGTGAATTGAGTATTTCTTCAATTGTAAAAACCCAATAGATCTTTCTTCTTCAAATCAGAGAATCTATCATCTTTGACAAATATAGATATAATGTCACAAAACCTCTTGAGAATAAAACTCAATAGTATAGGCTCTTGAAAAGCTTGCATTCAGGCAACATGTTGATTCTGATAACAACTCGTCTGATTATGAATTGACCTTTCAAGATGATTTCACAGATATCGATATTTCTTCTAATACCGAGAAATCTTGAATTCTGATTCTGATGAGGAGAATAAACTGTTATACTTGACAAAAATGGGATTCTCATGGGCTGAAACTTCAATAACCCTGGAGAAATGTGGTCCAGATTCATCAATTGCAAAATTGATGGATTTTATATGTGCTGCTCAAATGACTAAAGATGCTGACGCACTTCTTCCGGTAAAAGATGGGAAGCCATTATGTAATGATCCCAATTACAAGAAAAGGCGAAACTTGTGTTATGATTTTTGAGAAATGAATAAACAGAAGAAACTTGAAAAGAAACTTCTTAATGAAGATGATCATGCAGTTCATCTTTCAATTCCAACGATCGGTTTTGGGGTTCCTACTGAATCAGATCAGATAACTCAAAGAACACTTCCAGAAGATGCTATTGGCAAATTCATCTTCTAAACTCAATGATTGTTCTGTGCAACCAGATCAGATAACTCAAAGAACACTTCCAGAAGATGCTATTGAGCAAATTCATCTTCCAAATTCAATGATTGATTATGTCCAACCAGATCAGATAACTCAAAGAACACTTCCAGAAGATGCTATTGAGCAAATTCATCTTTCAAATTCAATGATTGGTTCTGCCAAATCAGATCAGATAACTCAAAGAACACTTCCAGAAGATGCTATTGAGCAAATTCATCTTTCAAATTCAATGATTGGTTCTGCCAAATCAGATCAGATAACTCAAAGAACACTTCCAGAAGATGCTATTGAGCAAATTCATCTTCTAAATTCAATGATTGGACTAAGATATCACAACATTTATTTGATGTAGAGCCAGAATTTGTAGATTCGAAGTATTTCCATACTATTACACTGAAAAGGGCTATATTCATAATTCTGCCAATTAAGAATAGATTTTCTCTTATTCTGCTTCCTCCATGTGTTGATGCTTTTCCATTGACAAAGAAATGATGGCTTTCATGGGATCCAAGAACAAAGTTGAACTGTTTATAAACATGTAC